TCATTGTAGAAGAAACGTTAGTTATAAGAACAATTAAGTAGTTATGTTATCAGTCTTAGTTATTTAATCATAATACAACTGTACACTAGGTATAGGTAAATAAATGTATCATTAATTTTCATTAATGATCATTAAATGCCCTAGTTCTAATTGATTCTGTGAGAAGTTTTATTCCTGTGTTGAATTTTAATATGTAATATTATATATGTCATATATGTAATAATTGTGTAGTAAGCTGTATTCTCTTGATCGTAAAATCATAGTGTCCACTATCAATTTTTCACATGTCTGCCTCATCAAATTTGGCAGTCTCAGATACGAATAAATAGCTAATTACGAAGTACTGCTTTGGATAATGGGGCTTTTTAAAATTTTTTTGCATGGTCATCAGTGCTTGATAAGTATGCATAGTTTTGAATGAATCCTACAAGTTGAAAGTGTAATAAATTCCATTAAATTTCCAGTAAGTTTCAATTTGAATAACGACAGTAGGTATATAATAAATGTTCATACAATCAATTGGAAAGAAATGACATACAAATATGCTCCTATGATTATATAAAAACTGATAAATATTCAGTTGGTATTCAACTGGCAACTCACCATACTATTTCTTAAAAATACTTTGTAATTTTTATATAAAAAGAAGACAGATCTACTAACATAACATAATATATTAGTTCATTTAGTCATTTATTATTTTGCACAAAAAATGTTGAAGCTTATATTTTACAAAAACTTTATCAAAATATTTTAATCTCAAAATAATATATAAATGTGACTGAGAAGTTATAAATTCTACTTTACTTTTATCTTATTTGAGACCAGATTAAACAGATATTCTGAATTCATCTCATAAGACAAGTTGATTTAGCAGACTGTCAACTACACTGGACCCCCATAATCTGGCTTCTGTAGGTAGAAACACAAAATAGAATTTTGACAAATATTTATTCCACAATCAAATTTTACTCTCGATATTTTCATGCTCCTTAAATTGATTGGTTCATATTATGATTCCTATTTATAGTTCCTGATTACAGATTTTACAATGTTAATTTGTTTGCAAATAACTTGTGCTAATACTAAAACATAAGCTCTCTATTATGTTGTTCAATAAACTAAATCCGACACACCTATGTGGTATGAATTGTAGTTCAAATAGAATCTCATTATTATGATCTGTAAATTAAATGTTCTTGAAGAACTTCTCAATATCTGATAAAACTACAGTGTAATTTGAAGCTTAATATTATTTTTATTATTATTGCAGTCATTTTCAAACAGAATCTTGCTCCTATTTATTTGTATCCGACTTGCATATATGCAAATTATTGAAATACATTACTAAAGGCATGTGTTGTGAATGTATAAGGTCATGTTAAGAATGTTTAAACAGCAAATAAATAACGTTAGATTTTCCAATTTTCCATAAATTAAACATTTTGATGCGATAAGAATTTCCAAACATAAAATATTTTTTCGTTAATTACTATACTCAACTGAAACAAAGAACTACATGAACTTATTGCACCTAAACTGAAACTGTTTTTCATAAAATAATGCCCAATTTACATTACTAGTATAATGAATGCTGATAACCATTACTTTAGTGGATCAGTAACTTTAAATGTTAGCAAATTTTGCTCATAGTCTAAAAGCTCTACATTTAATGAAATACCATCATATCAACTAATACTTACAACAATGGTCTAGAATGTGTGATCCCATCAATGTTAGTTCAATCACAAATTATATATCGAATAAAAGTAAATTTGCAACTTCAATTTGAAATATCAAAATTGAAATGTAACATTGCAAGTAATCACACAGATGTTGCTAACTTTAACAAGAATAGAAATCAAAAATTTGTGAAATTTTTATGAAGTGATTTAAAGATGTTTTCATAATTATTAGTCTCAGGTGATTCATATAGAAAACAAAAAATCTAAAGTAAAATTATTTAGCCTTTTATCTACTAGTCAATCACAATCAAACATTGTAGTCACCTCTCAAAATCAAAAAATATTTTTGAACAGTTTACTAATCCAAAGCCGAGCAAAGTTTCCAGGAAAATGTACACAATTGTTTATTCCTGATGATCCTCTGCAAAAAGATGATTCAACTTCACCATTTGATGATCTTCTTTACTTTTTTTAATTCTATTTTTTCTATCTTTCTTCACTTTTTGTCCAATAACATATTCTGGCATAACTATTTTAGATCCTCTAAAAGATACACTCTCTTCAGTTGTAACACCTGTAGTTTCATTATTAAGGATAGGTCTCTGAAAGACGATTTTTTTAGGAAGTTCCTGATCATTATCTTGATTTTCCATTATATTCTTATCATTTCTAACACTTAATTCCTTCAAAAAAGAAAGTGCTGCTTTTGTATTCCCTTTTTCTGATATATCCTCGTCTTTTACATCGTCCAATGAATACTTTGTCCATTTGTGAGGATTCTTTTTGAAATCAGGTAATCGTTTTAGAAAATGCTTAGGTACAGTATCATAAGGGACCTTAAATATACTCTTTTCTCTTCTGAATGTCTTGGTGTATGATCTCTGAGCTTTTATTTCTTTCAAGTTACTTTTACTAAACGACTGTCCGTCCGTTTCCATAGGCTCCTCCTGATTTGCCTTTCTTTGTTTTTCAATTTCAAACAGCTGACCGAATGCATTTTCTTGTCGCTTCAAAAAACCCTCATCACGACATTTCAACGAAAATTCATTAGGGGCTGACATTGCACAAAAAATAAGTAAATTACTTGCTCATAGCAGTAATACTTAATATATAATTTCAATTGTTGCTTTGCAACATTTGGAAAGAAATGTTTACATTAAGTTACTATTTATAAATCTCAACCTCAAATGTCAACACAATATAGTGTGGTAAACACCACAGAAAAAACAAGTTATATGTTCTGTGGTCAAAACTGCACCTCCACAAAACAACTGGTGTGGAGGACCCGTAAATACCAGTGCTTACTCGATATTTACAAGATACTGTTACGAAAATATCTGAAGCCATCTCTGTGTTATCTAGAACATTCCGGCAAATGTGATGTAACAACGGGTCCTACGTTCTGGGAATCGAACCTTCTCGAAATGGAATCTTCTAGAAAAGCTCTTGGTATATAATGAACCAGGACGGAAGATGGCAGGACAGAGTTAGATTACAGTTATCTAGAGTAGAGTGAAATAGACAGAAGTGTGACATAAGCGATATTGACATTTGTTGTGATTATTTTCAATTTGTAAATAAAGGATATTGTTACGATTATGGGTTTCGACGGATAAATTCCAATAACTAATTTTAACAATCAATAAATAATCCTTTATTTACAAACTGAAAATAAACACAACAATTGTCAATATCGCTTATGTCTATTTCGCTGTACTCTAGATAACTGTAAACTAACTCTGACCTGCCATCTTCCGTCCTGGTTCATTATGTACCCTAGAGCTTTTCTAGAAGATTCCATTTCGAGAAGGTTCGATTGCCAGAACGTAGGAGCCGTTGTTACATCACATTTGCCGGAATGTTCTAGATAACATAGAGATGGCTTCATATATTTTCGTAACACTGCCCCCTCTTAGTTTTGATCGTCCCGATCAAAATCACAAGTTTCTACTATACTCACCTCGAAGTATTTCGCCAAACCTATCCAAATGTACAACTTTCGGCTTCGATCTTGTGGTGCATTGGATTCTGTAAACGACGTCATTTATTCGTTTCATAACCTTATACGCTCCTTCCCAGGAATGTGTTAATTTCGGGGATAAACCTTTTTTTCGTTGTGGGTTGTATAACTACACCCAGTAACTGTACCAGTCCCCTTCTTCAAATCCGACTGAATTTGCTTTTAGATTGTATCTGGTTTTCATTCGGTTAGAGCTTGTTTCTATCTTATCTCGAACTAGTTCATGTATCTTATTCAAATGCAGTCTGAGCTCATCTGCATATGTGCCCACTTCCAAGCGTACTTCTTCGGGACTACCAAACAATAGATCACATGGCAATCGTAGTTCTCTTCCAAAAAGAACCTTCGCCGGAGTGTGACCTGTAGTGTCATGAACTGACCCTCGATAAACCATCAGCAGTACTGGTAAATGTTTGTCCCAATCTTTTTGATGATCAGTACTAACTTTGACAAATACTGTTCCATTGTACGATTAAATCTTTCTACCATTCCATCAGACTGAGGATGTAAATGAGTTGTTCTTGTCTTTCGGATGTTTATTATCTCCATAACTTTCTCAAAGACATCGCTTTCAAAATTTCGTCCTTGGTCTGAATGTTATTCCAATGGAACTCTGTATCGTGATATGAACTGATCTATCAATGTACGTGCAATAGTCTGAGTTTCTTGATTCGGCAGGGCATAGGCTTCTGGTCACTTGCTGAAGTATGTACTTGTTGCCATCGTTAGTGGTAGGAAAAGGACTGGCAACATCAACAGCAATACTCTCAAACGATAATCCGACATTGTACTTCTCCATATTCCCACTCGGTGGTCCCTTTATAGCTGTACATTTCCTGCACCAGGCTTCTACGTCCTCACGGCAATACACCGAGTAAAACCTTCCTCTGATTCTTGCAATGGTCTTATTGACACCAAAATGTGCATCGGGTGTTCCACCATGCATTTCCTTGAGTAGTCCTTCTACCTTGTCCCTGGGTACAACTAAGAAAGTTTTGACTTCTCTCCCATCTGTACTATCCCATTTCCGCTTGAGTAGCCCATTTTCTATAACTAACGAGTCTCATTGCTAAACAAGGCCCAAAGCGCCTTCGTAAGGGATCCCATTCTTGAAATGTCTTTCCAGGTAGGCCTTCGGTTATCTCTTTTCCATTCTCTAAGAACTTTTACATCCGGGTCTGCTTCTTGTGCCTCAATCAGTTCTTGTGTAGACCATCCTTGTCTCAGTTTGGTTGTAGTTCTTCTTAGATTAACAATGCCTTCTTTCTTCTCTACTCTTCTACAGTGACCACATGTGGCCACTCGACTAGGATGCGAACCCAGGTCTCTCAGGTTTACGCCCTGTTGCTTTAACAACTCAGCTACCGAGGTCTACACTTCGCGATGCAATTTCGACTATATATATTACTCTCTTATTCGTAAGACTACGTCGACGCTCGGGTTGTCGTCTTTCAAACTGCACGAAAGTGAGTAAACACCTTCCCATCCTCCGAGATGTTTAATTTTAGTTAATTGAAACTAAATAAAGAACTTAATGTGGGTCACATAAACATACGGTCTCTAAATAATTGTTTCAATTCTTTCTCAGAAATCTTGATCGAAAACTGTTTTGACGTTCTGGCTGTTACTGAAACTTGGCTTGATTCATCTACATCTGGTGATTTCGTGGCTGTTCCTGGATATGAGTTTGTTCGATCTGGTCGCCCAACCAGAGGGGGAGGCATCATGCTTTACTTTAAAAAAGGTATAGTATTAAATGTCGTACTATTCATGAAGCAAATAATTTTGAAAGTGGATTGGAACAACTATGGCTGCAATTAGAGCTTCATCATCGAAAATTGGCCCTGGGCATTGTGTACAGAAAGCCAAGTAAGGGATATCAATGCTTAAATGAGTTCGTTGACGAATTGGAAGAATTCTACCTACAATACGAGTCTGTGATCGTTGTGGGTGACATAAACATCGATTTGTTGAAACCCAATACAACAGATGCATTGTTTTTACGGTCTATCATTCATGACTACAATTTACAGCAGCTGATTCGGGAACCTACTAGAATCACTACCACTAGTCAATCGCTGATTGATGTATGCTGCGTTTTTGTTGATTTTTTGTAAGATAAAAGTATTGAACTTTAAAAATTTTTAAATGAAGCTACGAAATTGAAACTAGTACAAAGTTTGATATATCCGACTTTAGACTACTGCTGTGCTGTGTACTGTAATTTTTTGACCCAGGCCAACATTCAAAAGCTCCAAAGAATTCAGAATGCTGCTGTCAGATTTCCCGTGCCATCATATTCAATTTCGCATCAAATATTCTATATCCGCTAACCAAAGAATATTTCCTTAAATAATTCGCAATAATTCAATACTTTTGTTCTATAAGCACGTAAGTGTGCATTCATATATTTCAAGTTACTTAATTTGGCTCTTAATTTTACTTTTACGTATGTATATATTTCCTTCATTTTATCTCCACATACCTACCTATATCTGATTTAAATTATATGAACTGTATTACACCTTGAGAATATATTTTTGATTCAGTTCCTTTAGGAAATACTTTTATTGCTCTTGATTCCCAATCATGTTCATTAATTTTGAACGGAAGTTGGCTTCACATCTTGCAACATAATCTTTGAAATGTGAAAAACTTCTGATTTCTTTGAAATCAGATATGTTACTGTATGATAAGCGAATTCATCTATAAAATCTACAATATGATTTCTTATTTGTTTTCAATTTTATCAATACTTCATATTAGGATAAAAGTTGCTATTGGTCCACACACATGACGATGCACATTCAATAACGTTATCTGTAAATGCTTTATATATTTTTATTTTTTTTTTGTTCCCTGTTTTCGTTTTGTTGTTTTGAAAGTTTCCTAATTAAAGCTCAATAGTTCCACTGCTAATGGAATAATTACATAGACACATTCGTTTATATTGAACTCTTCTAAAATAAATATAAAAATATGCTTAATAAAACAATTGTTAAACTGATTTACACATATATAAATAATTACGAATATATGTGTAAATCAGTTTAACAATTGTTTTATTATGTTTATCGATTTACATCAAGTATCGGCCTCATCAATTATTAATTTAAAAATATGCTATCTGAACAAAAGTGATTCTAGTATTCGACCTATTTGATTTTACAAATAAATCTTATCAAATTCTGTCTTTAAAAACATGTAAATATTATACATTTTATTGATATCTTCTTTGCAATAATCAAATAATCCACAGGTAACACAAAATAAATGTTTTTACTGGCTCCACCCCTGTTCGAGAAATATAAACAGTTAACAGGTGACGAATTTATGAATCCATTCTCAATGAGTATTTCAAGGGAACATTCAAAACTGCATCGTGTCGTGTTTTAAACGATACAGATATTTATTTAATTTACAAACGAAATTATTTCTTATACATCTTCTGATACTCATATAAATGTTTTCTTATGAAAACCTTTGAAAATGCTGTCTTGGCATGCATTCATTTCATAAATTAGTTGATCGCATACATTCGCCCATATTTCAATATAATCTAAACTCATATTTGATAACTCTTTCGTTCAGTAAAACTGCTAACGACTGAACAGATAATCAACTCAATATTCCGTTATTATCTCATTTTATTGTAAATTCTCATTCACAATAGACAATATTGACATTATTCGGTTTTCAAACAAAAAACCTCATTTCGTTTTTTATCAAAATGAGTACAACTCATTTTGACGACCCTTTACCCTTTCAACTTGTGCGAACTTTTCATACAAGTTCGCACTGAAAATTCTTGTTTTTATCTTCATAATATGGTCTAAAATGTTTATAATTCTTTAGACTGTGAACTTGTTCTAGGTTGAGATAAATCATTATACAGCGTTTCATTTTACCTCTTACCTAAACTGTTAGAATATGAATAAAGCACAATTTTTCCAAACATTCGTTCGGAACTTGTAAACTCAACATTCGTAATTGTAAGAGCTTATTGAAACAATAATTCTCTTAACTTTGACTTGGTCTTGGTCTTATTATCTGATGCTTCTGCAAATATATAAAAAGGAACAGACTTACTCAAATGGCTATCATATTTCGCTAAAAACCTCTACAGGTTATTTTATACCCTACACATTCACCATACCATTTCCAAGCGTAACCCTGAAGTTTACTTGCAAACAAATGTAGAATCGTAACAATCGTTCAATCCATTTGTCCACTACTTGACCATTTTCAGAGAGACCAGAGACGGATATCAAAAACTTTTCACCTGGACTCGTTATAACCGGTGCTCCTTGGATAATTCGTAGTTTTGAGTGATCTTCTTCTTAATCATTTTCATTTTTTCTGCAGACATTCAGACCATAAAAAGCTAGAACTTGAATAAGATCTTGTATCTTGAAGAATATCGGCATCTTTCCGATTCTTCCAATTTTAGTTGCGTTTTCTATTCTTTTCCAATACTACTTGAAGAAAACTCTTGCCGCAATTCACAAAATTGCAGTTAAAAACTGTCAATCCAATTCACACAAAAAAAAACTGTTTGCGTGATTCACTAGTTCACCATCTTACTTAAACGCGCTTTCCTCCCGAAAAGCGGGACTGAGCATGTCCTGCCCGGGACATTTAATTTTAATTAAAAATCAGGACGTCCCGCCAAAATGGGACGTCTGTCAACGCTGATTACTACATACCATTGAAATATATACATTCCACTCTATTACTTTTACTCAACACAAGTTCCACAAAATTATAAATGATCTCAAATATCTAAAATATAATGAATAAATTATGCACAGGCCAACACACATTTTGGTGCCTGCGATTTTTTAACTGTTCCTGAGTAATTTTTGGATGCAGAATGTAAAAAAGTTCTCAGATTTTGTCTATCAGATCTAGTTTTTGAGATTTTTTAAAAAATTGTGTATATAATTTACGTTATAACTGTTATAATATATAATATTACTATTGACATTTAAAAAAACAAAGATTTTAGACATGGATTTGAGTATTTATTGCAAAAACTTAATTCACATAATTACATTAGTCACTTATCACATAAAAACTTTCTTTTATACGATTTTCTAGAATGGAGTTTACTAGGGCAGTCTCGCTGAAGGCTCCAGCAGTAGTCCGCCATCATGTGGCTATCTCATCGTCCTTGATAACGATCTTCCATAGTTTCAATATCCTGGTGGAATCATTCCCCCTGTTCTTCACTACAATCACCTAAGTTTTCTGGAAAACGATCTAGGTGGCTGTGGAGGTAGTGAACTTTTATACTCATGTTACAGCCGAGAATATTAAAATTTGAAAGCATAGTTTCCACTAATTCTACGTAATTCTCTGCTTTATGATTGCCAAGAAAATTTTGTACTACTTTAACAAATGAGCTCCAAGCGTTAGATTCAGTCTCGTTCATTGATGTGGTGAATTGTGGATCTTTAACAAGTTGCCTTATTTGAGGACCATCAAATATACCAGCTTTTAGTTTTTCCGTGCTAATGCCAGAAAATTTACGTGACAAATACTCAAAACAATTTCCATCTCGATTTCAGGCCTTCACAAATTGCTTCATTAGGCCTAGCTTGATATGCAAGGGCGGAAGTAAGATTTTTTCTCTTGAAACCAAAGGTTCGTTGATCACGTTTTGTATTCCTTGAATCATGACATCTCTTGAAGGCCAATTTTTGTTAACCCAGTGCTCATTTTTAGCTCTGCTGTCCCAAAGGCACAAAAAAACAAGGATATTTTGTATAACCACTCTGCTGTCCAAGGAGGAAGTTAATCATTTTTAAATCAACACAAATTGACCACTGATGTTCTTCGTATTTCATTTTTCTCAAAACTAATGCTATTGTTTCATATTCTTCTTTCATGGTAGTAGAATGACCAATAGGAATTGAGCCATATTTGTTACCGTTATGTAAAAGAACACATTTTAAACTACGTTTTGAACTGTCAATAAAAAGGCGCCAATCATCTGGAGTGTATTCAGGCAAACCTTTTTTTTCTAAGAGCCCTTTTATATTGTTACAGAATACCAAGTCATTTTCCTGAGTGAAAAAAGGCAGCAGATCCTTATCTCTTTTACGATAAAATGTAGCCTATTAGTACCTCGACAAAGTAGATTTTTTTCTTTTAACCTGGATGCAAGTAATTCAGCGGATTCCTTTGAGAGATTCAGGTCTCTTATAAGATCGTTTAGTTCTTCTTGATTGAAACACTGCGGAGTTGCTAAATCTGCTTAAAATCGCTGTCGTTTTCTGATTTAATTCTTTTCAACTTCGTCAGACGTTGATGTTTCTGTATCATCTTCTGTCAGTTCAGGTAGACTGCTGAATGATGGAACGGGTATTT